GCGACTGAGCCACATGGAAGGGATTATGTCTGTTTGTGTTGTGCAGACAACTCTGCGCCAAAAAAGTGCTATGTGACGTGCGTAGTTGGATTTGTAGTGTTCTCTGCACTCATTTAGGAACTGTGCACTACAATCATACGTAAAAGTAAGGAGACTACTTGAAGCCATGCCAGCTACTGCTGGCTTGGCACTTGGGAGCGTGCTTTCAATTTGATAACCTCAGCGTCATGTGAAAGGCATCTCAATTACCCGAGGTGCTAGGAAATACAGCAGTTTAGCTGTCCTATGGCACGCAGCTTTCTCCCCTCCCACCTCTTCAAGCAATTCCTCTGCCAAGGGCATACTCTGCACCCGTCCATCATCCAGGTATTGCCTAAGCACACGCGCAGCATTATCTTAACATGTTGGAAACGAAGAGGATCCCTTCGCAGAAAATGCAAAGAGCCTTTTGAAAGAGGAAGTTCTGGAGCGCCTCCGCTTGGCACATGAAGCCTTGTATGTGGAGCAAGACCAGGACCCCTGGGTCTGGAAACGTGTTGAATACAAGGATTTCGAGTAGCAGTTTCACCTCGAGTGTGATACAATACGACCTGGTGCAGTGTCTGGTAACTGTGGCAATACTCTTAAAGGACTGCAAGCAAGCCGGACTCAGGCTCTGCGCAAGGAATCGATGAAACTACAGTACAGTCTTGCAGTTCCACAATCTTATGTATGCTGGGTATGGTGCCCTACTAGAGTCCCCTTCGCGGCCCTAGCGTGTACGGGGCTAGGCCAAGACCTTGAATGACCGAATTAAATGATCGTAAAGGTGCTTTCGAAACCGTAAGGCGCATGGCACCTTGAGAAGGGAACTGCCTGTAGGCTCAGGTTGAAGGATCAGAGTGCAGCATCCTTCGCACATGAAGGCGATCTAGCGAGGCGAACACAGAGGTGGGGTGAACGTTGCAAGGCTGTGCATAGCTTACGGCGGTTTCGGGCTGAGCAATGACGATGGGTGCAGTTTCGAATTTGGTTTTCAGACCAATGAAAGACTTATGAGGCGCATGTGGGCCAGTACCGAGCCTGTATCAAAGGCAAACGGCATGGAGTCTGAACTGATCGAGGTTTGCTTAGTCCACCTTCTGCTGGCGTTCGATTCATATTGACAGTTCCCCAACACAGTAGCCCATGGTTAGGAAACGCAGCAAGGGTCCTTTGCTAAAGTATCGTTAGTGTTCGGCTCTGATCGCTTCATATAAATCCAGGATACTCGGCAATAATGGGGATTCATAAATGGATAAGAAGCTCAAAATCAAATGGATAGCATTTTCCATTTAATCTTCCATGTTCTTGTCCATTTCATTTTTGTCGCCTGTATATGACCTTCTGAGCCCCAAGGAGTCAAATCCACAGTTGCCAGATCCTTAAGACAGTAAGCAGCAATACAGTAATAATGTAGCAGTATAGCAGTAGATTCATACAAATGGAACTCATATGCAGCTATACTGTTTCTCTGTTGCTACTGCAATATAGTGCTGATATAGTCCTCACAGGAAGCCGATGCATCGGCAGCAGCAGCCCGCATCTTCAAGCGCGTGTCGCAAGTGGTGCTGCAGCACAGGCCCTTCTCCACAGGGCTAAACTCTAGGCTTCAGTTGCCAGCTATGGGCTCGCTTGGGTAGCTCAATGGATGGCCAGGTTTGGTTAAGGGCTTTGAGAATCAAACCTATGAGGGGGAGCTGCCACTTCCTAGAACCCGACCATGTGCAGCCTGAGCTGCACAGCCTGCCTCTGCCTCAACCACTCAATCTTGAGAGCTTTAGCCATGTCCTCAAGGAAACCAAGTTGGTGAGGAGTCTTACAAGGAGGCTTTCACAGCAGATCGATGCTTCAGTGTCATGAATGAAGGCTGAAAACCAAATCGCACAACATCAGTTTGTGGGCACCCTAGGGCTGTTTCCCACAGCGTTGCTTCTGGGTTGAGATGGGTTGGGATGAAGTGCCTCACATTATTTCTGACATCAGCCCATACGTTTTGGCCGCAAGGGACCAGATTGCGAAGCGTAGTAGGATATGCTGACTGAGAAGCTTACAAGTCTAGACTTCAGGCTCCAGACACCCCTCGATCCCGAGCCCTCAAGACGGGTTCCCAAAAGCGCTGAAACATGCCAACCATAGGGAACCCATCAGTCAACCTTGCATATGGGCCCTCTACCTTGCATTCCATAACCCGCCCTTACCTTCCACCAGTTGTCAGATGATTTGCTCTAATTTCCCTAGCTTTCAAATGCCGATAACGATCCATCTAAATAAGCTCTTTGGTGCTTAGTTAGCGGGAGGGGATCTATGTGTTGTATAGCCTTACCCTATGATCGTGCGACAACTGCTCCCGTCTCCACTTCATTTCATAGCCCACTTCTAGTCATCTGCGTTCATCATTATGTGACTTCACATCCTTGCGGATCGGTGTCCTCCACAAGCCAAAGGATCCTCATAATCATTCCTACCGTGCCATACCCAGACCAATTTTCCTAATTAGTAACCCCTATCCCCTACGTCCCCCAACCAAACAATCCCTACTGAAGCATGCTTAAAAGATTCTTGGCATGCTCCTACGCCTCAAGGAACCTGCAAACCAGAGAGAGTATCGCTTCGCCCAGGGATGCTTGCTTGCGCCGGGAGCTCCAGCGGGTGCTGAGGCGCCGGCGAGCAGCCCAGGCCTCGAGGGAGAGGGTTCAGGGAGTAGGGACGTCAGGGTTGAGGACCTCTGGAGCTCAATATAGCTCAGCTTCTTGTCATTTATGCTGCAAGCGCAGGACCTTTTTGGATGAAGGGACAGTTGGTTTGGGATGTCAATATGGCATGTTCTTGCGGGGCAGCATAGGCATGACCAGCTCCTGCTAGACATGCAAACTTGCCAACTTGGGTGCACGGCTTCTTCAGGAATCGCACATGCTTCTGCTCGAAGAAATTTCTGATGCCCATACACGGCTGAAGTTTAGTGTGTAAGGCTTGCAGCTTCTCTTTCCGGATGCTGTGCAAGCGTGGCCGTTCTGAACCAGCGTCCTTTCCCGTGCATTGGTCCATGCTTGTTCCAGGTGCCCGCACAGAGCAGACGAACTTCAGGAGTGCCAGGCCGCGAAGGCCCTTCTGCATAGTGACATGGTGAAATTTCAGGAAGGTTGCTCTGCGTGAGGTGCTCTTGGATTTTGAGCATCGAGTGGTTGAAGAGCAAGCGGCACACGCCATGCCATTTTGTCCTTTTGCCTGAGGCTACACCTGGCGAGGCTGTCCAAGTGATGGTCTCACGCGCGTCTTCAGGTCCCATCCAGCAACGTCGCGTTGCGTTGCAGGAGGGTCTACGCATGCCGTGCCTCCAAGGAAGCGGAAACTATCTTGCTTATCTGTCGACTGCTTGTGATTGCGGGCTCTCATAGTGGAGAGGTCTTGTGGAGGAGCGGTTGCGCCCAGAGTGCTAGCTTTGGTGCACGGAAGGTGCTTCAATTTTGATGTCTGGTCGTAGTTGGGAAAAACTAGGTCGTGACTGCATTCTTCAATCCTTGCCGACCATGACCAAAGCACTTATGCACAATGAGCAAAGCGCAAAATGCCTTGGGCTGAAAGCTGAAGAAAGTCGGCCATGCTCACAAGCTTGCCGACCTGCAGATAGAAAGCGGCGTTGTTCCTGAGATGAAACGCAGAAAGACTGGTTGTGGCAGCTTGTCTGGGTTGCTGTTAAGGAACTTAAATTAAGTTACTATATTGGGGAAACCCTATTATTTACTGTATATACCCACTATGGTAACTTAATTTAAGTTCCTTAACAGCAACCCAGTTGTTGCAGTGATTTCAGAGCCAGCCCTCAGAAATCATCGTCGCTGCCGAAGGCCCAAGCCCAGCGCACGAATGAATAATCATTATATAACAGGGTATACAGGGGTAATATTATAGGGATCATAATATAGGGACCATGGAAAAGAAAATGGAAACTATCATAATGGGTGATAATATAGTAGTATCCATTTACCTGCGCATCAATCATTGTCCCAGGCTTGCAAACTTACGCCAGCTTAAGGCACCATCCGGGCACATTCCGCATGGCCTGCGAGATAGCTTCAGGGCAATGATACACAAGCCTGCCAGACATATCACTCTAACCCTTCCAAATCACTTTTTCGAAGAAGCTCCCACGTATCAGAGTCTGTGGCTTTGAAAATCCGTCCTTCTTTGGTGGCATCCTTTGCGTTTCACCTGGCAGCTCAGCAGCTCAGCAAGCGGGTCGGTCACAAGCCCAGAGCTCATGTTCCATACCACTCCCCCACAAGTGTGGCCCTTGCAAAAGGAAATCAGCCTTTTTTAACTCTTCCGGACCAGGGTCAATATGAAGAGCTCCAGTCGGGTCTAGAAGGCAGCTCAATTGATTTTCTGTATAATAAGAGGCTTCAGCTGAAGCTTTGGGAGCTTGGCGTATCCTTTCTGCCCGGGCAGGGTATCTACTCCAGCTGCACAGCAAGAGCACTCCCGCAAGGATGTTGTGGTTTTGTGCGGGGACCATAGCCGTCGTCGCTGACAGGTGTTTGGCCCATGACTCTTGCAAACCAGAGCCCCTGGACTTCGGCCAGAGCTGTCAGCAAGATGCCTGCTCCAGGTGGCTCCGCTTGCTCTATGCAACTGTCGCTGTGGCCTGCGCCTCAGGCTTTTCTCTGGTTAGGGAAAGCATTCTTGGCGGGAGTTCGAGGGGGAGCAGATCTTCCCTGTGCTAAGGCTGCACTGCAGCTAGCGCGCCTGCGCAGCATGTGTTGTCGAACATAACAGCAGGATTGCCAGTTCTGTCATCACATTGCGCTCACAGTATGTCCGTGTCTGACAAGTTTGTTGTGTACTCTATTTGCTAGTGTTCCGTCGGAGGTATGGATGTATTGATAGCAGGAGAGAGAGGGGGGAGAGAGAGAGAGAGAGATAGAGAGAGCCTTCCGCTCTGTCATGTTCAGCCTAAGCACAACTTGAGCCAGGCGTTGGCCATGATGGATCGGGCTTCCATGATAGAGGCACCGGCTGGATGTAGACACACCTGGAGATCTTGAGAGGTTCGCTGGTTATCCATGTTATGCATGTTCAGGCTGCCTCACGCAGCCTGCGCCAGCAGATGAACCGCAGCGTGCAGAGGCGTCTGAATTGTAGGGCTTTACAGAGCCCACCTGAAAAGGTGCAGCGCAGGATTGCAGTTGGTAGGACTGAGGGGTTTACCCATCTGATGTTCAGTTTATCGGAAGTTGTGTGTTGCGGTACGGACATTGGCGTTTCCTTGTGGTAAAGGCAGTGGTCTTTGCAGTAACAGGGTCTCCGCTCCAGAGATTTACTGCTCTAGTGACTTTGTAAACAATGCAGTCGAGCAGCCATGCAGCGCCGGGTCTGAAGCCATCCTTAAGAGCAGCTGAAAGGGCTATGATGGCCATCTCACTCGTGGTTGTAGCCCCCCTTCAGTAGATAGAATATGGCTTTGGGTATATAATAAGGATCCCCATATACCCCATAGTGACTATGGGGTAGTCTATCTTCTCAAGGGTGACTATACCCATCATCCACTGATCACATGCACATACAGGCCCAATGCAAAAGGCAATCTTCACGACGGCGCGGGTCTGAGTCGATGTCTGCATGCTGCCGGGAGCAAGCCCTGAGCGATCCCGACAAAGCCCTGCAACCCTCAAAGGGCTCGTAACTTTGATGACGTCACTTCCTGGTAAGCTAAGGTGCTGCGTTGGACGAGCCCCGTAGTGTCGCCTGCTGAGCACAAAATTCGGTCTCCATATCCATACATATACCTATACCGCCAAGAAGATCTTTCAAATGAAAATCATGTATGTATATATATATATATGCATGTATGTGCGCGTGAGGGGCGAGACGTGCAGCAGCATAGGCAGCACCCTCTGCAAGGCCTGCGGTCCATGCTCAGGCTTCCTGTTGCAATAGCAAGATTTGGGGCCTCAGGACCAAAAAATCCCAAGCCCCAAAGACCTGCGGCTGAGGCGGAGAATGCCCAGCGCAGAATCCGCAGCGCTGAAAATCAGCACAGGCGGGCCAGTGGCGGATTGATTCTGGCCCAGTTACATCGTGAGTGTTATAGCAGTGTACATGATACAGCACCAGTTGTTGGGGAACGTAAAGTTACGCTTGATTTGCACACGTGTATCTCCAGCGTTGTTCCTTGCATTGTAGCACTCGAGATGCAGAGATGACTATTGCTCACTTCTGGCAGCCAAGACTTGGGATCCATGAATTGGAGAAACCCTTGTATTGTTTCCATGACCTAACTGCGCAACACCTATGAAGCCTGATCTTTAGGTATACTCTGTTGAAATGACCAAAGCATACTTTGGTTGAAAGCGGCAAAGGTCCATCTCCTCTGCGTCGCAGGAAGCACCTCAAAGAAACTTGGATGCAGCTGTTGAGAGCACAGGGCGTTCAGACTCTTCAAGGATTCCAACTTTGAGATTTGAAAGGTGCAAGGGGCCGCCTGTCTGTGGCAACTACCATTGGCTTATCATTCTGGACTGCATGTGTCTTCGATGACCAAGCTGCTGGAACCACTAACTCTGACCAATCTTCCTTCCATGGACACAGGTAGTATCGGTACGGTGGCGCCGACACCCTCCGCATCGGCTCTGGACAACTACACACTGGAGGTGTGAGAAGCTTTAAATAGTGGATGTTCACGGCTAACTGATGATGTTGAGGCCGGCACTTTAGGGCGATGGCAGAGTTGTTAAGCAGGTTGCTATGCTCGATGGATAGGAATGCAGGGCTCAGGTTTGAAGATTTGGGATATTAGCTGTTAAGGTTTCTTTCCTGTCAGGACCTTTCAGTCTGAAAATGACGTTAGCTCATGAAGTTGAAAACATGTCAGGGCACCAACTGAGTCCCTGAACTCGCTTCATTGTCGGAATTAGGGGCGTGGCTGCTGACGCAGGGTCTACCTGCTGGTGTCCTTGTGGGCTGCTAATGCATTCGACAGGGCCCAATCTCCTACCATTCCGATGGAGCAACGCGCTGGTAGCTGCATAGCATGACCTCACAGAAGCAACAGCCTGCTGCCGCTGCCAGGATGATGTGGAGGAGGCGCTTTGACCCACAAGTGCTTGAACAGCAGTGTGTGCATGACTAGACCACATTGAACATATCAAGAACAAATCATCAGCATCATCAAGATGTCTGAGCAGCCTTCAAATGGAACCTTGTTGAGCTTGAGAGCATGTGCTTATTCCTCTCCAAAGCTAAACCTGACTGCGCACACAGGACGCCACCGGCAGTTCAAATCTGGATGATGTGCTGCTGCGCATGATTGAGTTTTGCGATGTTTTGCGTCTTGTTACGTAGCATGGACGACATTTTTGTTGGCTTCTGCGCAAATTAGCCAGGAGGTGTGAGGTGTCGGATGCTCCGCCCCCGCCCTCCCGTAACCCAGAAAAATTCCAATACATTCCCCAGATGACAGAAAAAGATCCGCAACCACCGAAGGGGAGGGACTTTGGATTTCCTCTGCCAGGTGCCCCGCGTCCCGCATGATTTTCCCCAAGAGCTAAAACGGCCGGCCAGCAGGAAGAAGGCCCGACAGGGACAGGTTTAGGGTTCAAAGCTTTCAGGATAGATTAATAGGATGTAGCCATGGGGGTTAGTGTGGGCTGACAGCTAGCTATGTAAGATTCATCCATAACACAGCAGGAAGGAAGGCCCAAAAAGGGATTGTAGGGTGAGAGTGTAGGGTTTTGTTCAAGGCTTACGTCATGGGGTCAGAGAGAGAGATAGCAGGAAGAAGGCACCAGGCCCCTTGAAAAGACTTTCTACCGGGTGGATTATGTGGGACTTGGGTTGTACATCACCTAATACCTCCAAACTGCGCAGGTAGGAAGAAGGTAAATGACAGGGTTTAAAATGAGTGAAACAGGGATTTAGTTTAGGGCATAGGGTATAGCCTTTATGCAGCGATAGCGAAGAATAAACTGCGGTTTTCTGCAGGAATGTGGATTCTGGAAGGCTTACACTGGAGTTCTCTAGGTACTCTATGGGCTGGATTGCTGTCCTAAGGACGAATGCCCCGAGGGAATAAGGTGGAGGGGTTTCTAGTAGCAGTTTGCCAGCAGTTTGCAGGATTTCCTGGGTTGCTGTCATGGAACTTCCATGATGTTACCATAACGGGTATATATAGCAAATAAGGGCCGCAGGTCCAGAACCGCTTTCAGGCACCCAACCCAGGCCCCCCCCCAATCCGTGTTTTTGGGCACGCCCGCCTTTGAATCCAGCAGGCTAGCCCGACCCCCCCTGGCCCCCCCTAGAAAAAAAAAAACAAGTTTCCCAGAAACGTGTGCACTGGGAGGTGGTCGGGGGAGGGTTAACTTACTTTCCTACTCTCCGGCTCTCGAATCTAAACGCCCCAGGCCTCCGGCCTCAGATAGTCCAACATAGTAGTTCAAATTAACTTCCTTAACAGCAACCCAGTTTCGTGGAGATGTTTCAGAAGTTGTTTCGTGCCTTCTCAGACTCATGTGTCCATGTTTGGGTATCTTGTCCAAGCTGCAAGAAAGATTTGCCGAATTCAGCTGCTTTCTAGTATAACAGTGTAAAGCATAAGCATGCTGTTACATGTCATGAGATGTGAGAAACAGAATGCTCTTCTGGCAAGATGAAGCATAATATACTACAACATAGTGAACACGAGACACAGACGTCATGTATGTTGCTGTTGGAGTGTATGTGATACAAGCTCATAGGAGATAGCCGTATTATAATAGGGATCCAAAAAGGGACCATAATTTTGACAACCACCCACATATACTCTCCAATATTCTCCGCATCAGCCCAGGACCCGTCGGCCTCTGCTGCGGCGGGGCTGGGCGCTTTTGCAGGGCCCTCCAGGTGCGGGTCCTTGTGGCTGATCCTTCGTAGAAAGGGCCCGAGACCTGAGGGGGCTAACCATCGCGTTCAGGTTTAGACATGGGGGTTTGGGAACCAGGGTTTTGTCGGGCTTTATGTGGGGGTTTCTAGAAGTTTGTGGTCTCATTCGTGACTCGCTGTCGTAAGCATTGCGGTACATTGGAGTCTGTATTGGGGTCCTCTTTTTGATGGAACCTACCATGTAGGATTCAGGGGCTCAGGTGGGTTGATGGTTTGTGCCAACCTACTGAAGTAGTTTGATAGCGGAGTGCGAGGCCTCAGCAGAGCAATCCCTGTGGTACCGATTATTTTCCCACCACCTTAAGCCCGAAATCCTAAACCGCATTCAAGATATTCAAGTCATTCCAGTAACTCCGGTCCTGTGGGTGTTCGCAAGTCATGGCCCAGTTTGAATGGCTCACTTGGATCCGTACCCATAAGCTTTCGGAGAATGACTTTCTGTCTACACCAAACACGTAGGACTTTTTCTCACGCTTCGATCTGTCTAGCATGCAGCAAGAACCCCCCAGAGCCTTCCCTAAAGCTAAAGACTGGTGGACCTTGTCAGAATGACTGATGCGTTCGAGCAACGCAAGACACGGCAGCTGACCCAGAGGGCTCGAAGTCGCGAATAAGAGATTTTCTGAAAACTACGCTTTGCGGACAAAAATGTGCATGACCCTACATATCTAAACCTGAGGAATGCGGTATCATAGTATACTTGGGGTCATGTAGGCAGAGTTTTGTATATCAATAGTGTGGGCTTTTTGTGCTGTCACAAGGTCATGTTGTCAAGATAGGGAATCCCCCGCGTCTGGTCCCGAATGCAGAAACCCATCTTATTGGACTGGAGGTTTTGGGGGTAGGTTGCGGAGGTACTGCCCATATGTCATCAAGAGAAAATATTCTCAGCTATTCAAGCCTCAGTTAACATGAGAGCTCCGGAAAGAGCATCGGAAGTCCAATGAAGTCCATGTCTGATTTAAGGTTGTGTGGTAGGGGATTTTCTCAAGGCCCCACTGCATGGAAGGGCTCCCGGTTAGAGATGTCTTGGGACCCTCCTTTTTGAAAAGTGCCATGTAGAAGCTTTAAAGAGATGGTTGATCGGCTTTTTAGACTTAGGATAACCGAAGGTCTCGGGCTCTCGTCACGATGACTTCAGTTTTACCATCCTGGGGCCACTTCACTTAGCCTTTCGCCATCACATCCTACAAAGCTCCTGGCATTCCTTGACCTGCAGACTCACTGCTCTAAATCCTACATCGATCACGTATCTCAGCACAGCTGCTGTTGAATTTCCCGGGCCACGAACCCGAAGCGTAACGAGCCCCTACATGGCCCACACCCAGAGGAAGCCCTTCAGTCCCGTATACTAGCCAGCAAGTACAGTGCTCTTGATTGTGCTGAGGCAGCCCATACCCGTGGAGAGCTGGGGGCCACGGCCGCCCTCCCGCGCAGGGCTCCCGCAGAAGGCTGCCATTAGAAGCTCTTGAATTCCTCACGGGCTCAGAGCTTTAGGGTTGGAGGTAAAGGCTGTACAGCGCGCACTGTACCACTGAAGCCTCGGAGGGTCTACGCTTCGGCGCTCAGATCAAGAAAGATGCCAAGCATCTGCACAGGGCGAGACCTCTGGAAAGTGTGTTTCTTTCTGTACGGTACTCTTGGGTTAAGTTATGTGAGCAGTTCCCGAAATAAGGGCCTCATTTTGGTACTCCTACATATTAGGTGCCGTAACATAATCTACTACCCAAAAACGAAGCCCATAATTTTGAAAACACATTGGGTTGGTCCTAGTTGTATTTATCCTAGCTGGAATGCAGGCAACATACTGCTGTACTGCCCAGATGTTCCACCCAATTCACCGACTTGTCAGCTACGACTTAGACTTAGCCATTGTTCTTACGACGTTACAGGGCATGGAGCAGCCCTCAAGCCGTAAATCACAAAGCTTCATCAGCCGGAACTTTCAATCACAAAGCTTCATCAGCCGGAACTTTCAACATGTGACTCTAGCCCTACTTCAGGCACGGCACCCCCTTGCAGGGTTTTGCATTATCAGAACTATATAATATAGTAGCTTCCATTCTCTTTTCCATTCTCCCAAGAATGAATATATAGTATACTGCAATATACTGTTACATACTATAAGTTTTTATACATTATAGTATACTACCCCGGCTTCCGAGCCCCAGGGGCTCAAAGCCAGGCCTCAACGCCATTGGAGGGTAGCCTTGGCGACGGTTTTGTCAGCACGCCGTGCCGAGGCGCTTTGAGCAGTCTTAGGCTTACTAGGGGTTACCTGGGAATCAGAGTATATATACTACATAGGGAGAATTAAATCTCTTCCCACATTCCTTACTAACCACTAGTAATAAGGGTCGTTGGGCTGGCCAGAGCGGAACTTTGCAGATGACGGAGTTGCGGAGTCTTGAACGTACAAGAGCGAGTCTTGATGAAGAAGGTTTGTCGACTTAGTTGGAGGATTCAGTTAAGGGAGGTCCACTGACAAGGACGAAACTTCATACGGAGGATCCCGTCCATAAAGATTCAGATAGGTCTGCGAAGGATTTTTTACTGAGGGAGTCTAAAAGGACATGACGGAGTTTAGACATCAACTAAGTATTTTGCTTTGTTAGACAGGTGCCCTCGAAATATGTAGCTTCATTCATTGGCCAACAACTTGCCGCAGAGGGAGGAAACCATAGGCAAACCTCTTGGAGTTGCGCCCCGCTACCGTCTGGGTACAGCACATGGCGAAGCTCTGCTCCACATCACTGCGTTGCACCCTCGAGCGTTGCTGCCATGCCCTGGAAAGCAGGAGCATTCAGTTTCCATCAGGTCCTTTGGCAAAAACAAAGGCACATGAAAATTGTCCCCTTTATACTAGGGGTTATACAGGGGTTATATTGCGACAATGGAAGATAAAATGGAAACTACCCTAAACCCTTGTGACTCCGTCAGCTTGGCTATCATGTGCCGTTTGCCACATCCGTCCCAAAGTCAAAGAGCCTTTCCTGCCGCAGGGAGCGGAGCTAGTTCCAGCGTTCAACCGACATGGCTTGATCATAGGGGTCATATAGGGTTTTTGTTAGGATTATATGGGTGTTCTATAGGCATTTTTTAGGGTTTATATAGGGGTTCTTTAGGGATTACAGGATATGTATTATTGGGGTAGTACAGGGGATAATGGAAAAGAAAACGGAAAGTACCATGTAGGGTTTAGGGTTTTGTTGCAAGCAGGTACAGGCCGTTTTTAGTCGCGAAGTGATGAGGGTCTGGGATTGAGGCTTGATGAAGAGGTTGATCTACAGTAGCATTTTGAGTTTGTTCTCTGCCATTGACTACAGAGATTGCAGGTTGTGGAAGCCAGCCTTTTCAGCTAAGAACTGCTTGTGCGAAATACCTACTCGCCGTCATGTTTGGACCAGACATACACCTGCAACATAAATAGGGTGATCTAAACTTTCCACTAGGCGCTGCTGCTAATCAATCACTTTTGCATGCCACAATGCACGGCAGAAACAAAAATCTGGGTTTGGCGGATGGTTGGGGTTTGGCCCAGTCTTTGTCCTTCAGGGTGTCTTTCCGGGAGTGCGAAAACCAGAGCCCCTCCTTGGACGGAGATCTTGACTGTGTAGTTGCGAGTTACGTTGCAAGTCCTTTGGCTGAGTTTGAGAGGGGTGCAGACAGTTTGAAGCTCTTTTTAGGGAGCACGCAAGATGATTTGTCAGCCAGTCCACACACAGAGATGTCAGCGGGAAGGCACCGCCAGGCTGCGCAGCTACGCGTTTATGTGTAGTGTTATCAGCCTCCTGCCGTTGCTACCAATTGTTCAGAACATCCTTTTTTCCCAACACAAATGAGCACCAATTACATTACTGGATGCCCAGTGGCAAAACCATATCCAGACATTTTTGCGACCAGATGGTTGAGGTCGTCAGACCATGAAAGCTAGGTTACCAATACTCAACTACATCTTCATTTGAACCCACCACAAAGCCGACTTCCATTGCTGAGGGCCCGTCAACCGGCGCTACAATCCCTAAAAAACCGGAAAATGTAAACTCAAACACCCGCCACCCAAAAAAAGCGACATGAACCTAAAACACCAAACCTTAAACAGGAATGCAATCACAGAATGAGCCAGGTAGGGCGCGCGAGCAAAGAACGCGAGCCAAGTCAAGGAGGCAAATTCCTCCGACATCCAAGGGGCCTAACAAATCTCAAAGAAAAGTTCCTTCCAGATTGTGGGATCTGTGGACTTTCTTCGAATGATTCCTTGGGGCGTAAGTGATGGTTGCACACATTTCGGTATTTCACAAAATTGGGGTCACCCGTACGCCCCCAACTCACGCAGCCCACAGGGATCCCACAAGGGAACTGGGTTGGCTTTGTTTCTGGGATTCTGAATCTTGAGAAGGCGTATTTAGGTTTTTGCAATGGGTACACGTCCTACTGCATACCAGAAGCATCATAGGTCATTTAGAGAAGAACTTCTGGGCAGACTATAGGCATGCTTATGCATTTATATCAGGTATCCTGTAAGATATATTGGCAGCCTAGCAGTTATTGTAGGCAGGCATCCTTCCACACCTGGCTTTAAACAGACAACTTTGTGGTGATGGCAGACGCTAGCTTCAAGCAGAGGATTCCATAGCTCTCTTCCCTACCTGTTTCCTCTGGCCACGGCTAACTATGCATAAGACCACGTACACGAAGAGATACAGCGTGCAATTAACTACCCGGCTCTTCACTAGCCGTGAGCTGAAGAGCCGCAGCATGTCTATCACATGGTAGGTGGGAGAGTCTACTGCCCCTCCTATGCCAGACGCTATCATTTAGATATCACTGTCGGCGCAGGGCGGGACTACTCAAGAGAGCGGATTGGCAAGGGCATTGATGCGGCGATTCGTCATTTCAACAAAATGTCATGGGAGTTCAAAAACACGGTTCGTCATGCATGAAAAACAGGGGTAGGTTGGAAAAGATATTTTGTATTACCTACAATAATCCGTAAGTAAACCGTACAAAGCCATGAAGAATTAGTTTTATCGGACCCCAAACCTACCCGAGAAAACCTCATGAACAAGGAGAACAATTTGTTTGCGCAGCCACGGTTTCAAAGGAAGCCCTGTGGTTGAGGCAGCCGACCTGCCAGCAAGATGGCCAGCGACCAGGCGCGCACAGGCAGCAAAACCAGCAACGAGCAGGCGCGCTCAGCGTGAGGGTGTACAGGTTCAGGGTTGAGGGGTTTTGAGTTTGGAGCTTGGAAGAGGAGGACAGATTTTTTCAGATTTGTGTAGTTTTGATGAGTTTTATGTGTATACCATACACTCAAATTCGGCTGGCTACCTGGTAAGTCATTCTGAATATCGCCAACAGGCCCTGTTCTGCTAACTCAAGGCCAGTCCGATCTTTCGGGCTGACTTTGGGTTACATCGCGTTGAAGTAAGATGCGGTATGGACAGCCTGTTGGTGAACTCAGGCCTTGTGTAGTAGGCCCCTAAATCCAGAGATCCCGAATCCCAGGGGAAGGATGCAGAGGCGACTGGCATTCAGTACTGTCGAGCCCCTCCTAGCCTGAAACTTGAAGTGCAGCTTCGGTCCTTGAGATATGGTCTGAGATGTAGGGTGGGTATGTTTTGTAGTTGACGAGGATATGATATGATCCCAGGAAGTGCCTATGAGGTGACCTAGCTGGACCTAGCTGGCTACAAAGCGAGGCACAAAGAGGATCGGAGCAGGGCAGCTCTCACGAATTGAAAATGGCTCTTGAAGCCAGAAGGGACGACACGCAGCGCAGACGGAAGATTCCTCTGAAGCGCAGAAAACCTCTTAAGATAGGACTGCATACACTGGAGCTGAGGCGCATACTTGGATAGACAACATATACGTGGCTCTCACATCTCCAGGCAGTTTACCAGACTGCGTGCAACCCCTCCAAAAAGGAAGGCATCCGAAGAAGGATCTAGTCCTCCCTTAAGCACGTGGAATTATCTTCTGAAAGAAGCAGTACTCAGTACTCCCTTGAATTATTGTCTCTTGGCAGGCTTTGGGAGCAAAAGTTGTTGGAGGCAACGGGGCTCTGCCTTGTTTTCCAGCTTTCGGGCTTCAGCTTTGGGGCTTCCTCAAAAAATCACTCCGTGCAATCCGTAGGAAGAGTCCCCCTGCAATCCTTCATTGGAGTTTGTGGGCTCGGTGGATTCCCGACGCAGAGCAATAGAAGGCGTTGCTGATGTTCGTGCGCACCTCTTCCCAGAATCGGTCGAGATTGTGCCAGCCCCCAATTGCGAAGCAGGAGCTAGGAACGGCAGCAAGGGTAGATTTCTCTCCCAGGATAGCTACCGTCTTCAAGCCGAGTATTGTTCTACATCTGGGCCCCTACACCCTAAACCGTGCCAGAGGCACTGGAACCCTGAGATGGAGCTAGCCAGTCATAAGGAGTTGCCTGGGATTTGGGCTATGAAGCTGATTACTGGGCCCCTTGGCTTGGCTAGTGTTAAGGGGTCGTCTCGAGGCGGAACGAAGGCACGCATGCGCCCAGCGTCTACGACGTAGTACATCTTCTATAGCTGGCATGGTTTCCAGGTCGAAGTGACCCGCAGGATTACAAGTAGGATGCAGCTGTCTAGCCCCTGTTACAACCCCAACAACTCAAGCATTACCCCGCCTTCCAGGAGTGCATAAATACATCTATATACACATATACTATACATATACAAAATCTACGATATGCGATGCTATACTACTGTCTTATCTATATAAACTGTACAGATACTAGTACCTCCAGGAACTTGGGCCTCAGCACGAGTTGAGCCGCGCGCCGTTAGCTCAGGGGCGCAGCGTCAGAGCAATGCCGGACAGGCTGATGAAGTCCTTGGCATAGATGCATGTGCCTATTCTTGCTATTATTACTACCTCTGCGAAGATTGTGGTTATTACTGTTAGGATAAGAGTTCTTTTTAGCATCCTTAATGACAATTTCACTTGGGTAAATGATGAAGTCAAACCCAGCAACAGACAGAGATTATTTGTTACGAAGTTGGGCCCTCCCGTCAAGCTAGCATGATCACCCAGGGTTCCCAAAAGTAATTGTATCAGAGCCCGAAAATCTGAAACCGCAAAAAATTGCAGGCTATACGGTTTTGTTCCTGATGTCCCGTCATTCTTGCTGTTCAGGGCTCTCTCACAGATGGGCCTAAAGGATGGCTCTAATTGTTTAGTGAACCTATAAGAGACTTCGGATCTTTGTGCCTGACTTTAGTGCGCGCTTGGTGTACTTTCTACTAAGAGGGGCCTATGAAATACTCTGATGTTTCCCAGGTGCAGCGCCCTTTGGCACGGGCCCCAGCTGGAAGGATACGCCTACTTTAAAGCGTGAAATCAACACCAATACATTATCAGAGTTGTAGACCATTTGAGTCAGCCGCTGTGACTGCCTGTGTACACGGCCGGCATGTGTAAACGGCCGGCACGGCCCCGGATGTTAGTCGGCAGCTTTGAGTCAGAAGCCCACGATCTCCATAGCCCTGGGCCGGAACCTGGATTTTGACGTCAGAGTGCTCTCAGATGGAACACAAGCGTTCATGCTCGAAGCCCTACACGTGAACCTCACATCTCATGATCCACAGCCTCAACTTGGAACTCGGCTTGGTGTGCCGTTTTTGAGGTGTGCCAGGCCCATCACCTCTTCTTGCAATGAGTGTTCCGAAGCCCCCTCCAGAGCCCCCAGTCACCTGAATGTCCCAAAACTTAAGATCCTAATAGCCAAACGCACCAAAGTGAAGTCATACCGCTGGCTAGTCTACCCTAGCACAGTTTTTCTACGGCCGGCTTACTATTGTTGCCAGCATCGTCAGCATAGCACGACAACAACTATCGCCACTGCTAGTAACAATATCTGAATGCCGATGCCGCACTACTGCTTGCGGTGCCACTTACCTCCACTGCTGATACTATGACCTGGATTGGCACCGAGGCTGACACATAGAATTTATTGTCAGGTCATGAAATCTAGTCACGGATGCCTGGACAACTTTGAGACCGTCATAAGCAATGCCAAAGGAATCAGACTCAGACTGGCAAGACTTCAGGCCAACGACGCCGCGCGGAGCCGCGGCCGCGAGCGAAGGGCGACGACTCAGACGCGAGGCACACCCGAGGCAAGCTGGGCTGCCACTCCTTGTCGTCCATGGATTAAACAAGGCTCTGTCACGAGGTTTCAGAGGAGATTGGACATGGCTGAGCAAGGCTTTGTAGTAAAAATTGAAGGCATTGATGACCGACCTAACTCAGGCGCTGGGATGCGAAAATCTTAAAGACCATGCTCTGCACTCACCCGGTCCCCGTCTATAGTTCAGGCGTTAATCATTGTGGAACATGCAGGGTGTTTTTCCTACTGCTTCAGGCTGGTGGGGCCGACCTGGGCGTCTTCGGCCGGGGTCAGCCCATGACGAAGAGCCTCAGTGGAGTCCTGGACTCCGGGCAGCCTATCCGTCATGTCTTCTGGGACAGAAGCGAGAGGGAAGAGCCAGGTACTTGCAGGACCAAAGACCTATAGGCAATGTGCAGTACAAACCAGGTGAGTGGTTTTCATCTGAAGCCCCTGCAATGCTTGTTCGCTGAACGCAACATGTCCCATGCTCGCAGCTGAGAAGATGGCTGAGGGATGCGTAGGGCGGTAGCTCCGACCCTTTTGCCCCCCGCGGCCTCATGGGTGCGTACAACCTGCCATGGAGGAGCATGGCTACTCTGTCATGCGTGTCCTGGGGCAAGGTGGCGGGTGCAACAGTCGGGTCTACGAAGTCAAGGACCGGGAGGGGCAGCTGCGAGTGGTGAAGCAGCTGCCATGGGTGGCCGACACCGACAGAGAGAACGCACTGCGCGAAGTACGGTTGCTAAGTTCTATGAGGCATCCGTGCATCGTCCCGTATTTGGAGAGCTTTCTGGTTCGGTCCACACCTTCGCTGCCTTCAGAAGACATCCTCTGCCTAGTCATGAGCCGCTGTGACAGAGACCTCCGTCAAGAATGCCTCAGGGTTCGACTGGAGTGGGAGCTGAATGGGTGCAGAGACAGTTTTGGACGAGCACACATAGCGGAAATCCAAATCTTGTCCTGGCTTGCACAGCTTACTTGGGGTCTTCAACACCTGCATTCGCGGAAGTTTCTTCACCGAGACTTGAAGCCACAGAACGTCTTACTGGCACAGAATGGCAAGCGAGTGATGCTGGCAGACTTCGGTGTGGCAGGACAGGTGGAGCACACTGAGGATCTACGGCGGTCTATTGTAGGCACACCCGCGTTCATGAGTCCCGAAATGTTAGAAGGTCGGCCATATAATAGCAAAACGGACCAGTGGGCACTTGGCTGCGTGCTCTTCGAGATGATGGCGCTGGAGCCCCCATTTGCAGGGCGGTGCGACTCCTATGCAGCTGTCGTCAGTGCAGTGCTGCATGCGCCACCGGTGCAGGCGCCCAGGGGATACAGCCCGGAGCTCTCTGTAACTCTGGAAGGGCTTTTGGCACGCAAGCCACACAACAGGCCTTCGAACAGAGAGCTGCTGCGCTCGGACCTGTTGCGAGATCCTTTCCACGACTTCCTGCAGAGTTTGGACAGCCTTGTGGGAGATCGGAAGTGGGCAAAGCCACGGACTTCCACCTCGGAGCCCCGTGCCGTGGGGTCGGGGACAGCTGTTGGCCTGGCGCGACGTGCCGTGCCAGTGCTTCGTCAGCTGCACTTCGCGCCTGAGGCCGCCTCTGCCTCTAGCCGCGACCACGCTCCAAGCACGAGCGCGAACGCAAACGCGTCCGCCGTTACGGAGCCGTTCGCGATGGAGGCGCCCTTTGACGCAGCCTCACCCTCAGACAGTGATTTGGGCTCACCAAGCCTGTCCAAGAGCCAAACTAGCCTAGCCAAGAGCCAGGAGCTCAGCGCCACGGGTAGCTCCATGCAGGTTGGTAGTGCGAGCGCCCGCACTCCAGGCCTTCCAGGCCTTGTGGAAGATGACTTTGGCATCTCCAGAAGCCCATCCGTGTCAGCTCCGCACCGGGCCACGTCCAATCACACGGAAGGCTGCTCTTACGCCTCTGACTTTGAGAGCGACTCTGGCCAGGTGGGAGCAGAAAGCAATTCCTCTGGAGAGCGTGACCTCGATCTTTTGGAGGATTTTCAGGAGCCTGGAGAAAGTGGGGGTGACCGGGACGTTGCACACAGCGAACACGGCTTCGCGAGCACTGCCGAGTGGCGTCAGCTGATTGCCGAGGCTGAGGCGCTCCTGGTGCCACTCCCCGAGGTCCATGCGACGGAGGAGGCACAGAAGCTGCGAGTGGCGTTTCTTACATGCAGAAAGGCCTTCCCTGTAAGACCCCTATGAATCTCAGAATCTGCTTCGGCTTTTCCGCCGTTTTATCTGGTTGAGAGTTCCAACGGCAGTCGCCTCTGCTTTATCATCTTCGGAGAGTGTCGTAGTTGGACTGAAGTACAGAAGCCCCCCCCTCGGATGTCCAAGGATGGCAGTGCAGCGTAGCATGTTGCATGGCCAGTGATGATAAGGGGACGATGATGCTGATGATGATGATGATGATGACAGTAGGGGTGATGGTGACTGCTAGTGAGAGCGATGGTAATACTGACGCTGACCATCAACATTGTTGCTTTTGTTTTCGAGCCCAACTGATACAGAAGCAAGGCTGGCTTCTTCTCTCGGCGGAGAGGACAAGGTGGGCATGGCCAAGCATAGCCAGCAGAGCAGCTTCGTGAGTCAAAAATCAAGGAGTGAAACGTGAGATTCAGTTCCTCCACTAGGCAATGCCCACAAACTCTGCAAGCACTCACCAAGACCAGACCGTGTACCCTTTTTGTTGGACATACGGTTTCAAGTTGAGATTGCCATGCCGTGGAGGCATGGAATTTGATAGCGGCTGTGCAAGAATAACCATTGCCCATGGTTCCAGCTTGTCGTCCGGTTGCTTGAAGAGCGCATAGACAGGTATTGTAGCAGGTTAACATTGCCACGGCAGTTCATGCACATAGAAAGCAAACAACCCCCTGGCCCTGCCGCATTTGGTATGTCCTCAAAAAGCCGCCCTAGATGTCAGAGAAGGTTTAGCTTGTGTAAAAGCTGCATAGGTCATCAGCAGGCAAGCTCCTAATTTATCTCAGAAACGCTATCTTTGACCTTGCATCGGATACCTTGTGTGGAACAACAGCGACGTGCCAAGTATGTAAGCAATCATGGCTTGGTGAAGCCTCAGTCGAACTGGGATGAAGGGATGCGTCTTTGCAAAGCTCAGATCAAGCTGTCCACTAGTTTTGAGTGACTTGAGCTTATCAAAAGAAGCAATATAGAACCGGAAGATGTGCAAGATAACGAATTCCAAGGGTCAAAGCTGCCAGAATTGGGACTTTGTGCCAATCTGCAAGCTGAAGCCTCAAAGCTTTGCCAAAGCCCTAATTTCTCAACATGAGGCAGAGCCCTCTATGAAGACCAACACGACCCCTTGGCCCTCTAAAGCACTCAGTGGGTACGGGATATCGGGACTCTTGAACTCATTGCACTAGGTGATGGGATTGAGGTCTGCAGTCATCCAATCAGCTATTGGTTCGCCCTGAACCATACAATACAACCCCAATATATACCCTATTATAATAGAGTAGTTTCCATTTTCTTTTCCATTATCTCTATATAACCCCAATATATACCCTATTGTAATAGAGTAGTTTCCATTTTCTTTTCCATTATCCCGATATAACCCTAACAATATACCCTATTATAATAGAGTAGTTTCCATTTTTTCCATTATCCCTACATAGCCCTAAGAATATACCCTATCTTCTATCTACTTAAGGGGAACCCTAAGCCATGGAGCCATACATCGGAACTTATTTGGGGGTTTCCCAAAATTAGGGGTACCATTTTGGGGGTCCCTATAATAAGGACTATAGTATTTTGGGGTCTATATTGGGTCCCCCTATTTGGGAAACTACCATTTGAACAACAAGGTCTCAAGCCTAACCCATGGCGCCACCAAGAGAAGGAGCCACTGACCTCTTAGCCTGCGACCCTTGATCTTTTGATGTAAATGTACGAGCTTCAGTGCAGGTCTCCGTAGACTCTAAGATCCTCATTCTATGTATGTCTCCATAAACATGTCCAAAACGGTAGGTCGATTACTGCAATCCCCTGTCTTGGGACCTGTAGGATGCAACATCCTGATTATTTACGTACATGCTCAGACCTCTATACTGGCATTTGGTCAGCTAGCAATGAAAGAATGGGCCTTCTTCGTTCCCAGCTATCCAAAGGCCAGTTTAGTCTGGCTTTGTTGGGTCATTCCCCCTCCCAGTAACTGTCCTTGAAGGGGCCTTATTAAGGGGGTTCTTTTCTCTCCTATAACCCATTGTGGTAACAGTTACTGTAAGGGGGAATGACCCAATGGCTTTGGGTCAGGTGGACCCTGAACCCTGAACCCTGAACCCTAAACCCTGAACCCTAAACCCTAAACCCTTAACTTTGGGTCAGGTGGACCAGGCCTTGAACTTCCTCCGGGATCGCAGGCCGCTGGGCGACACTGTCGAGGCCGATGAGCTGCTGCTACAGGCAGAGCCGCTTGGGGTACCAATCAGGATTATAGGGGTTATATAGGATTATAGGGGTTATATAGGGTTATTTTGGGGTTATATGGGGAGGTTCTACAGGGATAATGGAAAAGAAAATGGAAACTACTATAGGGGTTATATTTATTTGAACTTAGGCTGTAGTGCTCAGGCTGTAGTGCTTAACTCGGCTGGCATATACGAGCGGTAGAACCTGGGAAGACTGGATTATGGGTGTTCTTGTCTACCATAACTAGATCATTCCTCTAGTCAGCGCAGTCACCCTCAACTTTGTGAGTCAGGTGGAGTTGCTGGATCTCTTGGGGGACGAGGGCATCCTGAACTTGCCCCTCTTGGAGCGCTTGCAACAGCTGGATCAGCAGCCTGGCTTCGAGGAGCTCACCGTCGATCGGGAGGCCCTGAGGACCTTCTCCAGTGATAGCCGTGGAAATGAGAGCAGCAGAGCCGGCGTTTTTTAAAGCAGCTCTGGCGGGGAGCAATCAAGGAGCAAGCGGTGCTCATCCAGTGGTGGGAGTAATTCAATGATTGATGATTTTGTCTCTGACTCCTAGATATCGTGTAGCAGCTAGCAGAAATCGTGAATCTTCAAAAGCTCTTTGCAAATTTGTCCAGCCCGCGTGTTCGGTTTCCTGTCTCTGAAGAGCTTCAGCTCCTGATATGCTCCAAACTAGCGCTGACTGCTTTTCCGCACAAGTTTCACCCACCAAGTATGCCCGAGATTCATATGTCAGAACACCCGCGCATGTACAGCAAAGAGAAAGCCAAGTAGGTGCCCTCGGGCTGCTATAGATCGGCAATGCTCGATACATGCACAAGCGGGCAAGTGCAGGCTCAGCTGTCTTAGATGGTTAGGCTCTGTCTGGAAAGGTATTCTTCCTTGACTACCACACCTCGGATAGAAGGGCAGTGAGCGTCTTGTACATGTTGCGTGCGTGTACACGCAGAATTGGTGTACAAACAATTCTCAGCATCTGTAAGTGTAGTTGCATGCCTTCAGGGCTATTGTTGTCTATAAATCTACACTCGAACCCTGTATTTTCGGGCTATACAGAGCTCATGAGCCTGTACCTGTCCGTCAAGCAAAAAAAGTCTCGAAAAGTGCAGTGGCGCTTGGGTTGAGCTCAAGCAGGAAGCCCTGAGATGATCCAGCACTCAGCGCGTTTTCTGTAGAAGCTCAGAATTGCCACACTTCTTCTGTACCACGGTAGTTTTTTATACTTCTTCGGTTTGTCAGGAACATGTGCAGATCTGTTATTTCAGACAATGAAAGAGACGTTTACTCTTGCGGTGCATGACCAGATGTAGTATCGAATCGACCGGCCATCACGCTTAGCCAACGCCTTCTACAGCTCTTTGACCAAGCAAGATGTTTCACACCTCAAACGCAAAAAAAGAGTCTCGTCAGTGATGGGTGCTTGACATGCGAACGCTTGCCCTTTAGGAAGCAATCTTTTTATTTGATTGTAACGCGGCGTCTATAACCTGAGTCAGGATTCGGTGAGATGCTATCCCAAACTTCCCGGAGCCTCATAGCATATCATATCATATCATATGGCACTTTGAACACAGGTGCATGGAGGGCTGCAGCTGCGCCTTAAGCCCCAAGGAGCACTTCAGTATCGCATGTAAGCTTGAGGTCTGCATCCGGAATTCTGAGGGTCGAAGTTCTCAACGCTCTCATGGTAGTTTCCGCAAGTAGAGGGACCACAAGGTAGACACCTAAAATTCTATAATCCTTGTAAATATTGGGACCCCCAAAACGGTACCCCTAATCTTGCGAAACCCTCATCTCTTGCAAGTAAAACCCCCTGCGATCATAAGAAGCCCAGCATGAGCCAAAAGTGAGATCCAAACATTGCAAAGGGCTACCTTGCTGGGAATAGGTGTCCCTGTAAAGGGGTTGTAGGGGGATATATGGGGGTATACCGGGTTTAGGGTTTAGGGTTGCTGAAGATAAGGGGTACCTTTGTGAAGGGTTCCCAAACTAAGGATTATAGCATTTTGGGGTCTATGTTGGGGTCCCCCTAGTTTTTGGGAAACTACCAAATGTCTCATGAAAGTCGAAACAGGCCTGTGTTGAATTGTAGGAGGGAATTCCTCTAGGTGCGTAGCATAATGGGCTCCTGCTGTCTCGGTGACTGCAGCACTACTTTCGGTATTCCGAATTTATGTTGACACTCTCCAGTTATGGCAAACTCGGAACACCCCTCCAGTAGGAAGGTGTGAACAGTTGCAATTGGGGCGTGCAAAGAATAGCTACCGACCGTATGCTTTCCAAGCCAACCCCAGACGCAACTCCAAGGGCTACACATAACATTAGTGCAGGGCTGGCAAAAGGACACCGGTACTTCATGTATCTTCGTGTCACTCGAGAAGCCGAACTGGGCAAGGCAAACCCCTGAAAACGGACCAGGTACTTGCCGTCCCAGAGTAAGAACAATGCATCCCTACTTTAGCCATGTCAATGTTTTTTGCGGTTGATGAATGGTGGTGGCCTTGAAGCCAGAGTCCCTCGATCTCACCTTTCCTGTTCTGCTCTGAAGCCTTGAGACCAAAGAATTTCGCATAAAGCGATTTACTGCAAATCTGCGGTATAAGTTCAATCCAACTTCAACCTTCAAGCCTATGCTCAGCTCCTTGCCGAAAAAACCCAACTCCTCAGCTTTCAGGTGTTTTGGACTGGCTGCCCAACAAACATTCCTGCATCGATGGCTATGAGAGCTTCTATCATCTCTTTATGTGCCTTGCTTCATCCCTCTAGGCTTGGCCTCGTCATTCTTTCACGAGCCCCATGACATGACGTAAGTCATACATGGACGTTTGAAGTAGGTTGGCTATAGATTATTGTTTACATCAGGGTGTGCGCAACTTAGGACAAATCCCCCTGAGCCTCCAAGTAGAAGGTATGTGATGATACATCTCGGTACCGAAGCCTCCCCAGGATGCTCCAGGTATGCCCTTTTGTGCGAATTTTTCTCTTGCTCCCTGAGCCCTAACCCTTAATTTTTACGTGGGCATTTGGAATATGGGGGGGTCTTCCCAACATGCCAAACTGTCACAAGCCACGTCCTGTAGAAGCCTTGATGATTCGCAAGAAAATTCCGAAACATTCCATATACTCTTTGTGGTACAATGTACCCCAAAGCCCTGTTCTAATTCCCACAGTTAATATTTTCCCAGTGACCATTGTTATTGGGGTGGACTTTTTACCATTATAGGAGTGAGGGGGGGTTGATTGATATTGGTATGAAGGGGCTAACCAGGCACCTACATTGGAGTTCCATTGTGGCAGCCAGGTTCCGCGGAGCCTCCACCCCAAGCTCGCGTGCTGCCAGCCGCCCGGAGGCCGCGACTACTGTGTTTTTACATGCATATATGATAATGTGTGCGTATACACAAAAAGCAAACATATATATATATATATGCATAATAAAAAAATGTATATAACCTTATGTAGTGCATATATATATAGGTATATACATATACTGTTCCATATAGGGATATTTCTCAAAATGCTTCCTATATGATCCGCAATAAGGACTCCAGAAACCCCTTATAGTGCCTATAGAGCCCTCAAGCCCTGGAAGCCCCCCATTTTGAGAAACTCCCATTGGAGTTAGTTAGGAAGGTGGAAAATTTGTACCCCAAAAGTGCACCCATAACTTCTTGAAACCCTCATGTCACGTGTACAAAAAATGGTGATAATGTGAGGTTTATGGGAGTGACAGAAGGGAAAAGTTGTGCGCCTTTGTCTGGGACGCATATAGTGGGTCACAACTTTTCAGAAATTTCCCACATTGTACACAACAGTACAAGGCTGCATGAGTTAAACTTTTAGTGTTTTTGATATTATGTAATCCTACCTGCCAGAAGACGCAGGGTCTCTGCAGCCCGTGAGCTTGTACATCAGGATTGAAATTATGAATGCCGTGGCCTGCTACTCATCAGTGGTGTCGCTGCTCTTGGGTCTTTGGTTTGCGTTCTAAATGATCAGCATGAGTCGAATTCAGATTGCTTTTATTGCTACTAGTATTGTTATTGTTGCGATCGTGGCTCTAACTATCACATTGGACGTGCTCAGGCAGTAATGGCAGTTTCTTTGTGACGGGAATGGTGATTAGTACAAGAGTACAACGCTACTACTGGAATCACAGAGTAGTCTTATCCTTGTTTCAACATGTATGATGCTGATTACCAGTAGCACTTTGTTGCACTGTTGTCGTGAGTGAGTTTCGGGCATCGAATTTGGTTTGGGGACTGTTGAAAGCAGCGCTTGACAGTCCGCAGTTTGGAGGGTTTCTGGTTCCGAAAGCTTTGGGGATTGTGGGTAGCTGCTGGGGAAGAATGGCAAAGAAGTGCGCTGTTGCTATGCCTTTGTCGGGATAATGGGTTCGATTACTGAGTTATACAGTGGTGCCAGGACGTGAGCAGGAGGATTGCTGCAGTAGGCAACGGCAGTCCATGTACCCGTCATGGACAGCTCTCCTGAAAAAGTTGGAGACTAAAGCTAGAACCATGCAAAACCTTGTACAGTGCTCCACAGGCACTAGCGGACCCATTGGCGCTGGGTGTGACTGCCTCAGCATTATCATGTTATGTTGTTATCTATGGTCCTCCTTGCTGTAGTATGGTCGTCGTTGTGGTTGACTTTAACGGTTACTACAACTGTGATTACGACCACCGCCACTGTCACGATCACAACCATCACGGCCAGCACCACTGCCCTCGCCACCATCTCTGGCGGCTCAGAAGCTTCTATCACGATTGTTTACTATTCTGGGTTGCTGTTAGGGAACTTAAATTAGGTTACTATATTGGGGAAACCCTGTTATTTACTATATATACCCATTATGGTAACTTAATTTAAGTTCCTTATCAGCAACCCAGTATTACCCCTACTTGCAGTCTGACTTGTGCTAAGACCATCCAAAAGTCTGGCGGGCCTTTAAATTTGTATGGCACTGCTTGTGATGTTGCTTGTCAAAGTACCTTCTTCAAGGCATTGCCAATGGCAGCACTTCTTGTCTGAAGCAGTGTGCACATGTTACCTAAAAAGTACAGCTCGCCATGTAATTTGTAGTGATGCTTTCTGTTTTCAGGGTTCGCAGGGATGATGATGGCCCCTGCTCGTCTGTATCCCTTCCTGCGCTGTATCCCAGCTTCACACGCAAGCGTCTCCAAGACTTGAGATGCCTCTGCCTCCAAGGCCTCACACTCACCTTGGTCAGTCATACAGAATGCCCCTGAACTAATGGAGATTCAAGCCTACAGCAAGTCTCGCAACCTTGGGCTTCTTGTCCAGGCTAAGATTCAAATCCTTACAGCCATTCCAAACTCCAAGCTGGCATCAGCCTCCGAAGCCCAGACGCAGGCACAAAGTCTATCAGAATGTGGATCTCTGCTTGGGGGTCTTCATATGAAGAACAGTTCTGTTTGTGGGACTTTACTGTTGGACCCC